CGCTCAGCAGGACCTCCTCTTCTGCACAAGGCCCCAGCTGCAGGCAGAAACGTCGTCAGATCTGAGGGAGAGGTGGCATCATTAGTACGAATACAACTCAAAGTCAATTTACTGTAATGGCGGTTTCTTAATTTTCCGCATCTGTTTCCAGGCGGCGATGGATGCAGGATACTCTGGACGAGCGGATTCTCAGCATTTGACTCACACCACAGTGAACCGTATCAATTACTGCAGCTTAAATAATGCACATCCATTTCTTCTTTGCGTTTAATTAGATTTTATTATGGTCTGGCAGTGGCGCACAGACCACATGAAGCACTCAGGTCTTCAGCGAAAATCCTGCATTTGAATCTTACTTTAGTGAAAGCAGAAAGTAAAATTACCAACATTCTAAGTTCTCATTTCTGAATGTTTCTGAATATTTTCTATAACTGAATAACAACTACTGATATAAAAGTGAGGCTAATTTATACATTTTACACACCGCTGGATGTGCAGCAACACACCACAATCTGCAAATAAATGCAGTGGAGTAAAAAGTTCAATATTTCCTTGCAAACTGTGGCAATGTAGAGAAAAAAGCGACTAAAAATGCACTCGAGTAAGAACAAGTGGAGCAAAACTGCACTAAAGAAAACGACATTCAGTTGGTGCTACAAATATAAACGTTAATTTGAACTTCAAAAGAGCTGATTGACAGAAAAAAAAGAGTCTAAAAACAACAGGTTCTGAGGAAATTCAATACATTTGCACTGTAAAAAGTGTCAGTCATACATTTAACTTATTGTTTTGCGCTTCAATACAAAGCATTTTAAAAATCACATGTCTCTTTAACAGTAGGGCTCATTTGTAGCTCCATCACTGGCCTTCAAACTTCTCTTTTTGCATATCTGGAGTGAAGCCATGTCGCTGTTTGCATTTACAATCACTGCCCTAAGTATGAACCTTTAAAAATAAGCCAATGCCTCCTGGGGCTGAAATGGATGAAGCCTTGTCAGATACTGAGATGGTCCTTTAGAGCTCCACAGACTCGGTGCAGGTTATGCACACAGGGTGTAATTCACTGCATTCAGGTCTGGGACAGTAATTTATGGCAGCAATTTCAAATCCACCAGCAGAGTCTAAAATGGTTCAGCAGAGTTCACCGGAGCCAGACATGTGCTTTCGTGTTCGTGTTTGTTTTTAATATTTTATTTTTGTAAGTTTCAGCATCTGTTCTCTAAAAGAAATCAGCTGCACCGTTTGTTCCAGAGTCACAGAAAAACTTCACGAACCCAGCACATAAATATTATTTTCATTTTCTGGTCTACGAGTTTCTGAATTTCATTTGCAAATAAATACAAGCTGCTACGTCTCCTCTCAGCTCTGCAGAGTGCTTCTATTTAAGATTAGTCCTGTCACACATCTGCAAACAGAAGACTTCAGGTAAAATCTTTACACTTTGCTCGACACTCACCAGCAGCGGATCATCAGCTACAGACTGAGACGTTTTACTTTAGTAAAAGAGGAACCAACACACTGTAAACAAAACACGACTAAAAGTGTAAAATCATTCTTAATTGTACTTGACTGGAAGCTTCAGCAGCAAAATGGGTTCACAGTATATAAAGTACTGGTGAAGCTGCAGAGTCATATTAGTGATGTTTTTTATTACTTGTGTATTGCTGCGTTAACCATAATCACTCCATTATGTAAATGCATTACATTTTTGAAATGCTTAGTGTTTAATCCTCAAAATAAATACAGCGGCCAAATAACACGAGAGTTAAACGTGTGTTAGTTCCCCTTTGAATTTGTGAAGCAAATCAAAATATTCAAGTAAAGCATGACAGCTTCATAAATTACACTTTTGTACAGAACTTGAATAAAGGCAGTAGCCACAAAAAAACGTAAACCTGCACTACTGAGTTGTATTTGTATCTGAGCTGAAGCAGTGCAGACTGTCAGACTGTTGTTTTCTGTCAGTACATTACTGCCACCTTGTGTTTGAACCACAGAAGTTCTCTGTGGACCTGAAAGTAACGCTGCAAAAAGGAAATTCAAAACAGGCCGAAGAGCTTACTTGAGGATGATTTAACTTAAATGTACTCAGTTATTAGGCTGTCGTCTGCTCTTGGTGCGTCTCACTGAGCTGTTCAATCTATTTTTCAGACTGACGAGTGAACTGAAGCAGCTTTCATTTAGGACAATTCACTGCTTACATGGAGCTACACAGACTGAATCTGAGCCTTTCAGGACTCATTTTAAGGTTAAAGACTGTTTTACATGGCGGCTAGATTCAAGGAAAGCTAAACTAGTTTTCGCTTCCATCACTGGCAGATTACTTTGCTTAAAATGTGTGAATTTAACTAGTTAACCAATAATTTGCAGGGCACCTGTGCGGCACAACTACCTTTACAGTGAAGCAATGTGCAAAGTCTGACTTTGATTGTTATTAGGGAAACCGAAAAAAAAAAGAGAAATACAGCTTTTCATCTGGAGTCGCCAAACCGAGTCTCTGTGCATGAAATGAACGTCATGAAAAATGTCTCCTCAACAGTTAGCAGTAAGTTTCAGTTCTTCTATTTCTTACGCGACAAAGTTTCACCTAAATTGAAGGAGGAAGAAGACTTGAGCAAGGGCTGAATGAACTGTGATTTCATGTTTTAAAGCTTCAATTCGTTATTTGTTGTGTAACATAATTAAAACATGATGGATGAGTTATCTAAACAAAATGTTAACTGCTCTATATTCCACTACAAAGAACTTATAGATATAACCTGCTTCAAACATTCATTTATTAGTTGTTTTTTTTATGGCATGGAAGATAAAATAATGATCACAAAAGCTGTGACTGTGTTTGGTTAAATGAAGCAATAATAATGACAAATAATAGTGCCAGTGAGAAAATATTATGAGTTTTGTGTTAACAATTTCATAACAGCTAGGTCATTTATAACTCAGTAGCAGCACCAAGGTAATCAAAGCAGTATTAAATAAACCCTGGCTCAGACTGCTGCATAATACGTACATTGCAGTGTTTCAAATTGTGATTTATATTTCAAATCAACCCATTATTTATGTCTAGTTTGAGCCTATTTGTATAAACGGTATGAGCTGTGGTGATATGAATTGGATATTTGATAAGGCACATGTGAGGACAGCATATTTAATCACTCAGTTACCAATAAATAATGCAGACTTAATGGATGTTTAATCTAAGGGCTACAGCTCTGTTAGGAGACCAGAAAGTCTATATAGATGTCTGGTTACTTCACATTTCCTACAGCTGTCAGTGAAATTAATGTTGTTTTTGGGGGGTTTTTTTTCTTTAAGTGGCTCATTTGACAAGTTTTTTCAAGCATAAAACTAACAAAATATTTAAAAGTTTACACAAAAAAAGTGTTTCAAAGCTAACGCTAAATATAAAAGCTGCTGACATTTAGCTGCCCTCACAGGCTAACGGCAGGAGCTCAACACCAAGCTAAAGCTAGCTAGCTCGCTAACGGCAGCTCCCAACAAAACGTCGTGAAGGCGACTCCCCAGACGTCCTGTTGGACCGCTGACAGCATCATGAGTCGGTTAAAATGCAGGTGGTTTATACAAAATGAAATTGTGACTAAATTACCGTCTTCTTTCAGAAACTTGACCCGCTTCAGTCCGAGAATCTGACGAAGTTCTGAGAGCAGTGATTGACAGCCGTCAATCATAATTTTCCGTAACCACATAAAGGGGCGGAGTCTATAAAGGGCGGGGCTTACTACTTCCACAGCTAACAATAGCTAACTGGCTAACTAGCTCACAGCTAACAGCTAAACACCTTCTTGCGCACAACTACCTTATTTAACACTTCTATAACCAGAAACAACAGACATTAGATTTTTTAAGTTTTCCTCTGAGTCAGAAAATAAGACCATTTGCTTGCTGTGTTTAGATTTTTGTCCATCCTAGATAGATTTTTTTGTAATATCAAGCCTGGAAAAAGCTGCTAATTTTCATATTTGAGAAGCTTAAACAAACCTAATTGAGTTATTTGATGTAAATCAATCAGTGCCTCTCACCTGACACAAAAGGAATCGTGTCTGGAAGATGATCCTGGTATCAAATGTTTAAAAATGGTCCTTTTATTGTCTAGAACTGGTTCTGACCATCACACATGCTGATAGGAGCCTGGAAAGTTTACCCAGAATGCACTTTGTAAAGTTTTCTCTGGTGAAGAATCAGAAACCAGAACCACATCCAGGGTACCAATGATTGTTTCTATGACTCTATGTCATAGACATTAACCTGGTACCACTGTGAGACATCCCATAATACTGATGCTCAAACTTAGCTATAGAAAAAACATACAACAACCAGATTTAGTCTTTAGATTGTGACACCTGGATGGATGTAAAAGTGATTTGGCTGCAGTTTTACCAGAGGTCAGAGGTGTTTTTCATCCTAAAACGTCGTATCTATCTGCTGTACTGATGTAGTTCTGAAAAAGTCCATTAAAAAGTGACAAATCTAGACTCACCTCTGAGTAACTTATGGGCCCGTAACTCTGAAAATATTCATAGTATGAAGGTGAAACTTTACATAGCTTCATTAAATATAATAGCTATTAAAATAATCTGCTGATTCTCAGGGTCAGCTAAGAACTTTCTGCACATTTGTTGATTTTATGTGTAATAAAGTACTTAAATGATCAGTCCATTATTAAAATAGGTGGACTGATTAATCATTCATGGTTTAATAACAGTGAATTTCCAAATGGCTAAAAGTTATTTTCGTCTGTTTATTTATGGAACAAGGGATTTTATGGAGTATTAATGTTTATAAACCCACATGTACTGAATGCATTTGTATATTTTATATATTAACTTTAATATTGTGGCACTTTTTTAATGTCTTATTGACTTTTATGTTTTATGGATGCTCTTTTTTTAATTTTTTTGCAGAGTACCTTGTAACTAAAGTTTTTAATTAATACTTGAATTTGAGCAACTTTTCCACATGAAGACACAAACAGGACAGGGTTCGGCATGTTTACGGCATTGTTTATTTGAAGCTACTGCTCCACTGAAGAAAAAAAAAAAGTCACTGCTGATAAAAAGGTGCAAGAGTTACATGAGCTGTATCTTGAGGGAAACTGTGTTACATAAATAGTGACCGAGGCCCTGGTCAGCGTTGCTTCGGCCTGCAGCAGACGCCGAGCCACCGCCGGCTGTACAAAAGGAGGCCGAGTAACAAACAGTGGATGCCATCTAGACAGGCACTGATACAGACAGAGGCACAGGGATGGGAGAGAATGCAGACATCACTCGGGCAGGTTTTTCTGCAGCAGGGAGCCTCGTTCTGTCGCTCCGGGAGGCCAGCTAGCGTCTAAATGCTGCTTCATTTCCTTGAAACTTTCTCCTGACTCTTCAAGTATAAATCTATAAAAAAAAGGGCGAAGAAGAAGTTGCAAGAAAAAAAAAAAAAAGGTCACATTTTATTCATCTGGAATGAAGCCCGGTCATTCGTCATCGTCCTTTGAGGCTTTGGGCATTATAATCTACTCGCAGCTTCCAAACTAATGGATCGCAGCGTACACTGTGCGAGGAACAACTAAATGACAGCGCGGACATTCCTTTCATTGCACTTCATGTTTCGTTGTCAGTTGTACAAATCATTGCTTCAGTTTATCTTTTGTTGCTCTTGTTAAAACGATGGAGACTAGCTCATCTGCAACAGTTGTCTGCCTACTTTGTTCAAAGTAGTTCTGCTAAAAATATGTGATTAAAACAAGTAGATAAGAACATTTCTCTATGTGTGACGGAGCTTCTCTAAACTCCTCACAGCTGGCAGGAAGCAGCTCGGCCACTCAGAAAGTTGGCCGTCACTACAGCAGGAAGCTCAGAGGACCACGAGTGGATCCTCTGACTCACTGCACTCAATGAAACATACGAACAGATGACACAAAGAAATGGACAGTAATGAACATGAATGGCTTTTCCCTTTGAAGCCAGGAGATCTGCCTGGTCAGTGTAAAGTGTCCTGGTGAGGTCCTTGTGTAGTGTCGGGTCAGTGAGGAATATCTCCGATGATAACGAGGATGCGCAGCGGCTGTGTGGAGGATCTACGATGTGGTTTCTGGAGAAGCGGTTTCTGGAGAAGCGACTCTTTGGCGTGCGGATCGGGGCCGACTTCGCGTCGGGGCGCTGGCTGTACGTTCACTCTTGGTTTCGGACGGTTGAGTTTCAGCCTGCGGGGTGCTGGCGTCCCCGACGAGTTCACGCAGGAACTTGAACTTGGACAAGAAGAGCTGCCAGACCACATACCAACCTGAGGAGGGAAGAAGGAAACTGTGATTCACCCACATCTGATAGAGCAGTGATGCTGAACCCTGGCAACAAGCACATGTGTACTAACGACATCAGGAATGACTTCATTACTGAAAAAGCTAAATGGAACTGAGCCTTTGTTAAAATCATTATTTACACCTGTGCTCTTCCTGCTAAAACAAGTTACTTTATCTGTAAAACATGCATTTGTGCATCTCCTGTATTAGAATAACATCCAAGTCATTGAACTAACCATCCATTTTCCTAAAATGAGCAGCCAATTAGCTCAGAAAAACCCACAACATCCCTTGATGTCGTTCTTAATTTAGTCCCAGAAACTTTTCCAACTTCCTGGAGGCAAATTTATTCAGTTCAGTGCACAAGCTATATCATTTTTTATCAAAATATGATTCTTAATTCCTGATCCAAACAAAGACAGCAGCCATAAATTCTTCTTCTTTTTTTTTCTTACTCAGACTGATGTCTTTTCTTCCTACAACTAAAAAGCTGAATCCAGGCAGCATGTCCACTTCAAGGCTTTAGTTGTAGGCAGACGACTGACGATAAAGGTTGTCTGGGACAGAACTGATGGTTGACCAATTATCTGATGCATCATTTCATTCTGGCTCTGATGCAGCCGCCTCACTATCTGTAGTCACCAATTTGTGTCGTCTCGCTGTGTCCCACCCTCAGCAATATCTGATTGGTTCCAACATTTTAACAGCCTGCTAACACTGAAGGAACAATGTTGGAAAGTTCTCTCATAGCTAAACATGTGTAAATTCAACAAGCTTTGTGTTCGGGATTATAATATTTACTGTAAATATCTATTAGTTCCAATAATCTGTATCGACCTCTAAGCCTGCAGCTACTTTTTATTTTCATTGTCAGTAAATCTGTCAGTTGCTTTCTTAATTAATCCTTTTTTTAAGTTTAGAAATGTTGGTCAGTGTTTTCTAAAGCCCAAGATGATGTCCTCAAATGTCTTGTTTTGTCCAGAACTCAAAAACAGTCAGTTTACTGTCATAGAGGAGGAGGGGGAAATGAAAATATGCATATGTGATAGGCAGGAAGCGGAGAATTTGCAGCATTTTTTTTCTTTAAAAAAAATCAAATCAACTAATTGTTCATAATAGTTGCTAAATAATATTGCTGTACTATCTTCTGCATGACATTACAACTTGAAGTGAACACACACCTGGAATCCTGTTTGTTTTAAAGGGTATTTTAGGTAAAGAACAAAAACAAATAAGGCAAACGGGTTCATTTTCTCTGCAGGTCTAAAGATCATATCAGTTACAGTTTGTAAAGAGACGTCGGCACTTCTTCTCTCAACAGGACAGAAATAGAAACTAAAGTCAAAGACACTGAAAACAGCTGACCTGACATATGGGGCAACTTTAAAGGAAAAGTTCAGCATTGTTAGAAAGACTGTGAAACTATTTTATTATGAGAGTTTGTGTTTATTACTCAGCTGCTGTAGCCTCTTATTAGCAGAGTTAGCAACCTTGTTCACTCATTAAACCACATGATCCAGGCCTGATGGTGACATTAGCACAACATGATGGTACTAGTTAAAGTAATGACACGTCAGATTAGTGATTTATGTAGGTTTCTCATCGAGGTTATTCCCTTTAACTCACCGAACAGCATGAAGAGCAGCGCGCACACCAGAGTGGCCACAATGACCAGCAGCGTGAGCCCCACACTCTGCCACATCTTAGCCGGACAGCAGCACCAGCATACGGAGAGGGACTCGCTGTTTTCTGCTCAGGACCACACAGACACGCAGCTAGCAGAGTTGTCCGCCTGGCAGCAGGTTTAGAAAGCGGGCCGGGACGACACAAACAAACCGCCGCACATTGCAAACTCACACCAGCTCGTTTGCTAGCTAGCTGCTAGCTTAGCCGGCTAGCTTAGCTTAGACGGTGCCGCGGCGGGTCACAAACGGTCCTCAGGCCCGCAGGACTGAAACATGAGCCGAAGGTAGCTGCTCACAGCGGGGTAAAGTCCCTCTTGAAGTGAGCTACATCACTGCAACGTGGATTTGTTAGCGCTTTGGGACGAGACACAGCAGCACAGTAACCCGGTTAGCACAACAAAATCAGCGTCATGACTCAAACTGAGTCTGCGCAGCGTCCAACTGACTCATGGGTAGTGTAGTTTAATCTCACTTTTCTGATTTTCTACTTTCACCTTTTCTATTTATATCATTCACACGACGATAAATATAGTAATATAGCAGCATTATCATACTGGAATTCAGGATAATTTTGAATTAATTGGACTGTAGTTTAATATTTAGTCAGTAAATCTGCACATTGACAATATTTCATGCTCAATATTACTTTATCACCTCAGTATCGTTGCCAGTATAACTTCTAACTTTTATTCTAGTTTTATTTTAAATAAATAAAAAATTTTATTATTACTTTTGTCAGATTCAAGTTATTTCTGTGACCGTTGTGGGTTTTTCTTTCAGTAACCGAGCAGTACCAACTATTTTGTCCACGTGTGTAAGTAAAGTAGTTAAAACTAGTTTCAGTTCCTAAATACTGACACATCAGTGCTAATATTGTAATATGATAATACTTCTGTACTTTTCTTAAGCAGTTTTTTTTTTTTTTTTAATATAATGCTGCAATTTTAGTTAATGTAATGGAGTGTTTTTTTTAATATATGTATATATTCTATTGGTACTGTTACTTTAGTAAAGGTACTGCACTCCTACCAACACAGATTTTGTGAAAATGCCAATATTAACCTGTCATCTTTATCATTTATCAACCTTTCACACAACTTCTCTCAACTTTGATTTCAATACAGTAGATATTTTTCTATTATATTTGGTAGTATTTTGTCTGCCTTCTGCTACTCTTTCATTGGATTCACACTTCCAACACACTGGAGTAATTCGTTATTTGTCAACTACCAAGTGTAGAAAAACTATTCTACTGTTGCAATATTGATCAAGAAGGATATCTGTTGTTAAAATTAAAGTATGTACAGGAAAAAATACATTTATGAGCCTAAATACAGCTCCAAGCTCGCTGCTGAGTGTGTATAGAAAACTATAAAAGGATTTTTTTCTGCATTTCTTCCAGAAAATGTTTAAAGCTGCATTGAAGTACACTGCCCCTCAAAAAAATAATTAAACTTGTGGAGGTGAAGCCCTCATACCACCTCATGGAGTCTGTTTCTGACAGTTTGAGCAGAAACATGCATATCAGTGGCCTGCTGGAGGTCATCCTGCAGCTCTGGCAGAGCTCCTCCTGGTCCTCCTGCACAGAGGAGGAGGTAGCGTCCTGCTGCTGGGTTGTTGCCCTCCTACGGCCCCCCTCCACGTCTCCTGGTGTACTGGTCTGTCTCCTGGTATCTCCTCCAGGCTCTGGACACTGTGCTGAGAGACACAGCAAACCTTCTGCCACAGCTCACATTGATGTCCATCCTGGATGAGCTGCTCTACCTGAGCAGCTTGTGTGGGTTGTAGACACGCCTCATGCTACCTCTGGGGCTGAGAGCATTGACAAGATGCAAAAGTGACCAAAACATCAGCCAGAAAGGACGAGAACAGAGACATGGTCTGTGGTCACCACCTGCAGAACCTCTCCTTTATAGTGGTGGTCCTGCTACCTGCCTCTCATCTCCACCTGGTGTCTGCTCCATCTGCACTACAGCAGGTGAAACTGATTCACCATCAGTGCTGCTTCCTACCTGGACAGGTTGATTTCACAGAAGTGTGATTGACTTGGAGTCACATTGTGTTGTTTAGGTGTTCCCTTTATTTTTTGAGCAGTGTATTCCACATTAATTCAAACACACATTGCACAAGTTGAAGACACACATTTTTAGATAAAGAACAGAAAGAGAAAAAGTTTTTACTTTTGTGGTGTTATCAGATGATAAAAACAAAATCCAGTGTTCAGAAAAAGAAACCAACATTTACGAAGCACCAGCATTAAAAAAAAAACAAGCGTAATAACTGCGAGTTATGAAACGTTGATAGTTTTTCTCCACTTTGCAGCATTTGTTCATAAATCCTGCAGGAGGCACCATAGCTTCTTCAAAAGTCTGCAAACTTCCAACCAGCCCTCTGAGCTACAGAAGAAACGCCCACCTCCGCTTTGTTCCACACCTGCGTTTAAATCATGTTTTGATGAGGCTAAACACGTCTTACCTGGATCTCACCTGGAGCTACACGTGTTCCATCGGTGGAGCACAAAGCGGGAAACACATGTCAGATTTACTGCTTTGTCCTCTTTGCACTCTCATTTGCAAATTAACCCCCTGACTGGGGCTTTAGGGGTTATGTAATTGTGTGCCAGAGAATGAAAAGAAATAAAACTCGGTGTCACCCTATCATTTTCAGTCTCGGATCCGTCAACTGTCTGGAACATCACGTCCTGACTCGCAGCCTTTCACATGCAGCAGGATTTGCATATTATCTTTAGACAGAACATGAGTCACGCTGCAGGAAGGCATTTTAAGAATGTGTCCGTCTCCCGGAGGTGTGAGCCCGGGTAGCCTCAGCGGGAGGAATCTGTTTCCTCCTGGACCATTATTCTCAGGGTTGTTGTCAAGAGAAACGTGTTTTCACAACCTCATCGAAAAAGATGGTTATCAGTTAGACGCATGAGGTGTCAGCTCGCCTCGTCGCCCTCAAACGGTTCGTCTTCTGAGGAATGTTTTTTTCATTTAGTGTTGAGTTTTCTCCACATGATGTCAGGTCAGTTATTGTTTAACTCCCTAAATTCACTCTGCTGCAGCAAATTCTGAATCCACAAAGTCTCACAATCCAAACATGAACTCTCACTGAAACTGAGAAAGTATGTTGTTTTTTTGTTCCTTGGAAAAAACAACATACTTTAATGTGCACAAAACACAACGAACAACACATGTAAAACATTTTGAAACGCCTCAGCAGCAACAGCTCATCACTTTGTGATCACAATGTTTGTTGGGATCACACATGTTGATTCACAAACACAAAGCGGTTGATGTCCAGCAGCTCTGCTTCATTTGAGATGGAAAGTCTTGCTGCAGTGTTGCTCCACAGAAATGCTTTAAACAACTTTTTAAAAATCTTGATTTAAGCTGTAATTTAACACAAAACCTCCTGATTCAAACAGTGTAAAACCTTTTAAAACAAAACCAACAGTTCCTTACTTTGTAATCACAGTGTGTTTGTTTGTTGTGTCGTCGTGAATCGCTGGAAGCTGCACAGCGTTTCCACCGCAAACATTCATTTAAATCAATTTAGTTCATGTCCAGCTGCTCTGTTTTGAATCATTTCGAGATGAAAAGGCTTGATGCAGTGTT